GCAGCATTCATTTTTTGTTTTGTTTAGTTTCATTTGTGTACATGTGCATTACTGTGGGGTGTCCTGGTGTTTACTTGATGCAACTACGGTTTATTTTCCTTTTGTAGTGCAGCACTTATAATCAGAAGAAATCAGTGAAGACTTTATAAGGAGTGGAGGATGAACCTGATGTGAGTGTTACAGAAGTGTAACTCCCACCTCTGTAAGGAGATCATGGTAGAGGAGCGGAGGGTAAGGCAAATCAGTACAGATTCCCTTTACTATGCACTGAATTAGGTAAAATGTAATCATAAAGTTCAAGCTCACTAGGACCTCACATTTAACTTGAATATGTTAAACTGATAAGCCTATATTTACTACCAAATAAAAAAAACTCCTTCCCACCTAAGAGAACACAAATGAATGTGAAATCTAAATAAGATACTGTGATAGAATAGATGATGACAATGTATAGCAAAAAGCTCCTCCATCTTGTATCGCTACTAATAAAAGGTTAAGTTAAGTTGTAATGTGCTGACAAAAAGCTGTTTTCTACAAAATTGAAACTGTTACAAGGAACAAAATCTAAAGATAGCGTGCCAGGCCAATGTTAAAAGTATTATGTCAAAACTGTGCCTTCTTTGTTTGAATTTTATAAATATGCCCTGCTGAAGCATTAAAACTAGAATCATCTTGGGGGGAAGGAGCCGAACGCTGACCAAGATGGCCACGTAAGTCCGGAGCTCCGTGCATGGCGGTGATAACAACCGGCCCAACTTAACCACCCACCTCAAATATCCAGGCACAATCCCGGCAAAGAACATGTCACACCACAAAGGAAATGGGAAAGGCGACCGCTCATAATTTTTCGCCACAAGAAACCAGCAAAAGCCGTCGGCCGATCAGGTAGGCCTCCAAGATGGCGAAAATGACTCAGGGGAAGAGGTGGAGGGAAAAGTCACCCCAGTGATCCTACAAAACATGCTTGATGCCCAATCACACAAGCTAATGGCACATTTCCAAACATCCATATCTGACCTGAAAAAAGAAATCCAAGCTATTGGAGACAGGACAGAGCACCTAGAAAACAAAGTGGAAACCCATGCGGCTGCAGATAACACCATGCTCACTAAAATTCAACAACTAGAAGCACACATATCCTCCCATGATAACAAACTGGCAGACCTTGAAGACAGGTTTCGTAGGAATAATCTGAGGCTCAGGGGCATTCCAGAATCTGTGGCGGTGGGAGACCTACAAGCATTCGCCACAAGCCTGTTCCAGAACCTCTGTCCTGACTTGCCAGCCCAAATGCTCCTCCTAGACCGCATACACAGGGTGGCCAAAGCAAGAGCAGCACCAGTGTCTGCCCCCAGAGATGTGCTACTCCACGCACACTACCACCACATCAAGGAGGAGATACTCAGGGCCAGCAGAACAAACAAATCTCTGGCTGAAGCCTACAAAGACATCCAAATATTCGCTGATATATCCCCAGCAACATTAGCCACACGGCGACTCTTCACCCCAGTGACAACCGCCCTGAGAAAACACCAAATTCAATACAGATGGGGTTTCCCCACCAAGCTGATAGTCACACGAAATGGGCAGGCCACCGCGGTGCTCAGCCCAGACGACGGCATACAACTCCTGAACAAATGGAATATACAACCGGCAGAGACACCCCAAGCGATCAGCACCCTACCTCCTGAGTGGAAACGGGCAAAACGTTAACTGTCGCTCACAACACCTCACTGCAAGCTATTGCTGACTTTACCTATCACGCTTCACAGATCTTCACGGACTTTGATTCCTTCCCCAAACGTCTCCACGTGTGACTAGGCACACCCCTGCCACAGACCCCGCGGACACCGCAGGCAACTACAATCAACTTCCTCAAGTCTGCTGAAACAGCTGCAGAAACCATGATGAACTCCACTACGCCAAAACCAAGTGGCACCAAGCAAGAACTATCCACCACCCAACGCTGTCACATACTAAGATCACCTCCTGGCAGAAATGATCCCAAATAGGGCACAAATCCACACAAGAAACCACAGACTCTACCCGGGACTACCAACAGAGAGAGGCACTACCCGAGACACCTGATTGGCGTACTCTCAGGTTTTTTGTTAGACCAATTCAGAGACTGAAGTGATAATGTAGCGCAAGGCCACGGGAGTTAGCGGGAGCTGAGGGCGGGGGGGCAAACGGCAGGCCACGCACAAACCCAAGCATAGCTCTCCCACTCTACCACCGATCTCCCAATGCCCAGTGACGAGGGGTCTCCTCCCACCACCAGGGGGCTTCACAACCGACCACTTGAAGCCAGGGAACGAACCCTAAAAATCCCCCTCAAATAACGTTACCCCCGATTACCCCGACAAAACAGAGGGAACACATCTAAGACGTAATGACCCCAATAAGGGGACGGTCTTACACTGGGGGACTTACGACAAGGGGAAGGGAGAAAGCAAAACTCACAGCCAGCCACCTATGTTGAGACGGGGGGAGGAAGTTAGGGGAGACTTAGTCTTAATGAGCAGCAAACCCTTGCAGATCTTGTCTGGATTGTTTATGTTTCTATCCTCATGTTAGAGGAAACCAATGTGTTATGTTATGTACCTGTTACATGTGTTAAAAAATTACATGTCGAGTTTGGGTTCATACCACAATGTCTAAAAGTGCATAGATCCGCCTGTACGGAGCGTGGGTACCCGAACCCATAAAGCTTATCCTTGACCCCGAAGGGAACTGGGTGACAAGCTCAGTACAGCCGAATCCAACCCTGTTCGCCGGAGGGCGACTTATCTTAACTCAATGGGGGACAGCCCCGAGTTATTCCTGAGTGCTCGCCTATGCGACACACGACAGGATACCCTTCCTTTTCCAGCTTTTCATCTTCTTTTCTCCTTTCCTTTTTCCCCACAGGAGGTATGACGGGTGAGGGGGGGTAGGGAACTCGCAGAGATATGGGTATGTTATCACACCACACGGTACACACACTATGCGTATAATATCACATAATGTTAAAGGGTTAAACACCCCGTCAAAACCACATGCTCTCTATAAAGAAATAAGACAGCTACAGGATGACATCATATGTTTGCAGGAGACACACTTCCGCAAATCTGACCCATGCCGCTTCGGCATAAAACAATTCCCATACCAATTCCACGCTACCTCAGACACTAAATCCAAAGGGGTGTCCACCCTTATCAGCGGCCAAGTATCTTTCTACTTAATCAAAAAAGTAGCTGACGCTAAGAGGCGCTTCTTAATAATAATAGCCCTGATCAACGATGTTAAATACACGATAGGCAACATATATGCTCCAAATGACCACCAAAGAGACTTCTTAATTAAAATCCTAGCCAAAATCGACAAAATACAACAAGGTTTCCTTATCCTAGGGGGAGATTTCAACTGTATCCAGGACCCAATACTGGACTCTACCTCCGACAAAACACCCATACGACTCAAAACACTATTGAAATTAGCCAAACAACTAACCATGCTTTTCCACTCCTACAATCTTTAAGATGTATGGAGGACCAAAAACCCCTCAGGCAGAGCATACACATACTACTCATCGTTACACAACTGCTACACAAGACTAGATAGGTACTATGTAAAAGGCACACAAATAACACAGGTCTCGGAATGCGAGACTGGAAACATCGACTGGTCAGACCACGCTCTGGTCATCCTCACGATAGCAGACAAATTTGCCTTCAAGAACAAACCCCCATGGCGACTCAATGAATCGCTCCTCCAGACTCCCCACTTTGCAGAAAACATGCAGACAGAAATAGACCAATACTTTACTGTTAATGCGACACCCACTATGTCCACAGAAACACTGTGGCAAGCCCACAAAGCAGTAGTACGTGGCCTCTTTATAAAACAGGCTGCCCACACAAAACGAACCTCCCAAGCCAAACTCATAGAATGGAGCGAAAAACTCCAACAACTAAAAAAACAAATCAAACAAAACCCCCCAAACATCTTAAGAAACAAATATTGCAGCTCCAATCCAACATCCAAGAGGCACACCTGCACTGCACCAGCTTCATGCTGAAAAAACTAAAACTTTCCCACTACACTCAAGGCAACAGAGCCGGAAAACAACTAGCCTCCACACTAAAAGAACTGCAAACTCGCTCCAGAATCCCATATATACACTCAGACACAAATGAAAAGATACTCTCCCCAGGGGACATTAGTAATGAGTTTGCCTACTTTTATACACAACTCTATAACATCCAGAATAATCAGGACCAACACCACGCCACAATCGAGGAATCCACTACCTACCTAGACCACATTAACACTACCACGCTGTCAACAGACCAAAGGGAATCACTGGCCAAACCAATAACCACAGAAGAAATTGAACATATTATACAAAATCTCCCAGCCAACAAAACACCGGGTCCTGATGGACTGTCTAACATTTACTATAAAAAATTCCGTAAAAGTCTGACCCCCCACTTACTCAAAATATTCAACTACGCAGTTCTCAGATCCAAACTACCTCAAGACATGCTAGCGGTGACGGTAGTCACCCTGCCAAAACCAGGCAAACCCCCTACACACTGCAAAAACTTCAGGCCCATATCCCTACTTAACTCAGATGCCAAAATATCCGCCAAAATAATAGCCAACAGAATGTCAGACGCTCTTACGACACTAATCCATTCAGACCAATCTGGCTTCATAAAGGGGATACAAGGCACGGACAACACTAGGATAGTGCTTGACATCATGTACTCCATGCATAAACAACGAACAAAAGGGATACTAGTATCCCTTGACGCCGAAAAGGCATTTGACCGCCTTAGCTGGAACTTCCTCGAGGCAGTGCTGAAAAGATACGGCTTCCCGGACGAATTTCTGTCTGCGGTTAGGGCGCTGTACAATGTACCTACAGCTAAAGTACTATACGGAGGCTTTCTCTCTTACCCCTTCAATGGGACAAGGCAGGGTTGTCCGCTGTCACCCCTGCTGTACGTCCTGGCCCTAGAGCCACTGGCAACCCAAATTAGGGCCCACCCTGACATACAGGGAGTTCACATAGGAAAAACAGAACATAAACTCAGTTTATTCGCAGACGATGTCCTCCTCACCATCACACAACCTGACATCTCCATCAAGGCACTCACAGAGGTTCTGAAAGAATATAGTAGACTCTCATACTACAAATTAAACAAGGCCAAAACACAAGCCATGCCAATTAACCTAGACCACAAGACGACACACGACCTCAAGACACACTACAACTTCGACTGGAGAAATGACCACATAGTATATCTGGGAATAAAGCTAACTAAAAGCCCACTAGACCTAATCAAAGCCAACTACCTTAAAGTGGCATCCGACATCCGCACAAAAATGGACAAATGGAAAGGTAAATTCCTGTCCTGGCTGGGCCGAATAGCGGCCTTTAAAATGATGCTGCTCCTAAAGCTGCAGTTCCTGTTCCGCTCCATACCAGTGGAAGTCCCAAAGACATACTTTTACCAAATTGCAAAGACACATAGACAGGTTTATCAATGACCGACGTAAATCCCGCATCCCAAAGACCACAGCCACTAGAAAATTAGGAGAGGGGGGAATAGGCAGACCAGATATTCTAGCATACTACACAGCCACAATACTCAGCCACACCATCACAGCCCAAGACACAAAACACCAACCACCATGGGTGGAGATTGAGTCCTATTGGTCCCTAGTAGAGGGGATCTCTTGTTTATTCTGGATACCTAAGCCCCTAAGACCACAAATGCACAACATGCTACCCACCACAGCCCTAATGCTAAGGACATGGGATAACAAAAAAGACAGGTTCTCCTCCTGGAGTCCAATGTCGTTAGCTACTCCAATTAAGTGCCTCAAATATTACATTCCCACCTTTGACAGCAGGGGATGGGAAAGCAGGGGAGTACACTTTCTACACCACGCATGGAGCGGAGAAAATTTGACCCCTTTCCCCCAACTCAACCTGCCTCCAAGCACACCCCAAATAAGTGGCCTGTCATACCTACAGCTACAATCCCTACTGAAAACCACTAACCAAACAAGATCCCTCCACCCACCCACGATACAAAACATGACCAACATAGAAAAAATGTGCGCAGGACTACTACCAAAGAAAAAGGTAATAACGACTTGCTAGGATGTAGTTTTGAGGGATGACAGACGCCCTGCGCCTAAATACACCAAAGACTGGGAGGAAGACCTAGGACATAGGATACCTGAAGCCACCTGGTCTGGGGCCTTTAAGATACACAAAAAATACACAAGATGCAACTCACACGTAGAACTAATAAGGAAAATAGCCACCAGATGGTACCTAACACCAGCGAGACTAGCTCATATGTTCCCAAACACCTCTGACAAATGTTGGAGATGCACCACTGACAAAAGAACAATGCTACATATCTGGTGGGAATGTCCGATAATCAAACCCTTCTGGGCGGGGATCGCCAGGCTAATTGGGGAAGTAATACACAAACCGATACGGGAATCAGTGGAATTCTTCCTACTGTTCATATTCCCCGACCTCCTCTCAAAACAACAAGGGACCCTGGCATTCCACATATTGATAGCAGCGAACTTGCTTATAGCTAGGAAGTGGAAATCCACCACTGCCCCTCCCACAGGTGAAGTGATACAACAGGTATCTCTCAACGGTCAGTACGAAAAGATGGCCATGAGAGCTCTGATAGACATAACAAAAATCTAGATACATGGGAAACATGGAATGAATGGCTGAAAGGGAAGACGAACCTAAGTGCTGCGGCTCAGGACGCAACGTCCAGGTGACAAAGGGGTAAGGTAACCACACTAAGAACCTTTTCAATAACACCACTTGAAAAAGCAGAACCCATAGAGACAACCACCATGCCCGCTCTACCTCACCCACCCTCCCCCCGCCTAGAAAACCCACGACGATACCACACGTACCTAAAACTAACCCTCCTCTCGCTACTCTTTCTCTAGTTTCCTCTCTCTCCTCTCTATAGGAGTCCTCACACCCAGCCCTAAGCTGGAACTTCCTTGAAACATGTGGAGTCCACATAGCCGGGTGCACCACGGGGTACCAAAGGCACCCAAATGTGACGCTACCGTAGTCTCTAGAGACCTTGCATGTAGGGAGCGACACACGGGCTAGAGGGCCAGCAACCAACAAACTAGAAATCTAACAATGTAAGGGCTGAACTGGCTACCGGCCCACAGAAGGCAGCGAATATGTACACACAACTGCATAACTGTATAATAACGTAATGTTACTGTAAAGAATGTATGCATTCAATGTAACAAACATAGTGCCGATACACTGTTCGATTGTACTATCTATTGCGTCCTGTGCCTGTCTGGATTTCCGAAATTAAAAATAAATAAATAAAAAATAAAAAACTAGAATCATCTTGAGGTAGAGCCAAGCTGCAGAGCAGAGAAGTCGCATGGCACTGCAGCTCCTGCGATATACAACAATTAATACCCTAATTAAGTCGAATAAGACTGATCAAAACAGCTGCAAATACCAGGCAACAGTTGTGGAACCAACATGGGACAGAAAAATAAAAAACATAAAGCCATATGGCGACAAGCTCACGGAGCGACTGTCACCAATAGATATAAGCTTAGATGGCATTTTCAGAGTCCCAAAGCTCGCCAGAGCACCACCAGCAGCCCCCCGGGATATCATAATCCATTTCCAGCGGAGGAAGGACAGAGCTGCAACAATGACAGCAATGCAAATTGTTGAAGAAATGCAAGGAAAGGAAGCTACTAAGAATGTATTACTTATGTTTAAGAAGGCAGACATGACACCTACATGCAGTTTACATTATTCCACCCTCCACACAAGAATAGGAATTTGGCAAGCCGGTAAATGTGCAAAGCTTAAAAATACCTGATGAAATGGGTATATCCCCCACTATTTTATTTACATTAACAGGTAAACAGACCCTATAATTTTAATAGATACTGGTGTAGCCAGATATATTGTGCACAATTGTTTTTTAATTTCCCTTTGAAAAACCTAATGAGGTTGTAACTGATGTTGGCATAGATGGTTCTCCCACTAATGACCCGTTTCACATAAAATTAAATTAAGGCTGCTTTCCAAAGCATTAGTTGACAGACTATTGATCAGCCATATGGCTCCAGACAACCTTTTGGGCAGTGATGTGTTATCAGCCATAAGTGCTAATCTTATTTATAACTCAGATGGTACTGTCTCCCTAACATCAACCTTGCATGAACATTGTTTGCTTCAACTTTCAGAAGCATTGACAAATACCTCTCTTAATGGTTTAACCCCTGTTAAACATCTACCTCCAAAACTAGATGAAGTTTGTGATGGACCGCCTTGCACCCTGACTGGGTACCTCCATCAATCGCTGCTTCCTAGTACTTGCGGACACCATAACCACCGTAAACCCCACGAACCGCCGCAACTTGGTTGGCGTCTCACAGTCCTCCACCCACCCTGGACCCAAGACTAGGATCCATCTTCCAGTGGGTAAGACT